GGGGGGGGGGAGAGAGAGAGTTTAACATGGGACGAGAGAGAAAAGGGAGAGAGGGAAAGAGACAGACACAGAGACGGACACAGAGACAGACACAGAGACAGACATGGAGAGAGAGAGAGAGAGAGAGAGAGAGAGAGAGAGAGAGAGAGAGAGAGAGGAGAACATGAGGATGATGGCTTCCCCCTCCTCCTCCTCATCATCATCCTCATCGTCATCACATCATCATCATCAGCAGCAGCAGCAGCAGCATCGGAACATCTTCTTCCCCATCATCATCATGACATCTATCGAGAAATCATTTGAATCATGACCTCTCTATCATCATCGTTGCCATCATCATCATCATCATCATCATCATCGTTTTCATCATCTCATCACCATCCTTACGACTTCAACAAAGGGCACACGAGTGGACAACGCAGACTAGGGAAACAAAGACCAACAAGCAAGCAATACACGAACGCAAGCGCAGACTGGAAAGCACAATGACAATGCATTGATGACCGGAGACACGGAAAGAACGAGTCGGCAGGACCATCTGTTTTTGTTTTTTTTTTGGACATTGCAAGGCCACATTTTCGAAGGCATCAGAATAATTCTGTCTCTTGCAGTTCGAAAATCGTGCGCAAACATATCCGACAACTTCCCAAAACATATCCGACACCTTACAATGCACGATCCTCCCCTAGGTTCATAGTACTTCATACCCAACCCCAAAAATATGTAACGATTCATCATTCATATTATATCAGGTTTGGCACTCTGCATGTCAAAAAAATCTGACAGCTGCAAATTCCACATGCACATACAACCAACAAGATTCAGTTTTCAAACACCTAGACACAGATATGACCCACGTAGAGAGAGAAAAAGAAAACAACCACACTGGACTCAGTACAACGCACAGCACCTGCAGCCAAGTAGTTTTCGGATATGGCAAGGTTATGTGCGATTGTCGAGGCAAAAAATAAACAGATGGACAAAAAAAAAAGGGGGAGGAAATTGCAGAAACTTGCTTGGCCAGGAGAAGGAATGAAACTCACCTTCGGCATCATGTCGGGCGTCGCAATAAGTTTGTCGAAGTCCATGAACCCACCCTGGATTCTGTCAATCAAATCATCAGCACCGACCACATCCGCACCTGCTTTGTCCGCTTCCATCGCTTTCTCACCTGCATGGGGAGAGAGGGAGACAACACACACACACACACACACACACACACACACACACACACACACACACACACACACACACACAGAGTAAGTGCAATCCTTGTTCGTAAACCTCTCCATGTTGCACGGGCGGCAGCGACGCAGCATCACTACCGTCCCTGCTTATCTGCTTCCATGGCTTTCTCACCTGCGAGAGAGGGAGGTGAGAGAGGGATGCAAGACATCAACAGACAGAGAGGTGGTGACTAAGTGTGCACCTCGTCCCGATACCTCTCCATGTGCACAAGGGGCAGCTTCGCTTACCATCTTCCCCCGAACATAACACACCCTCAATATGTCCATATGGAGGGTTGATTTGAACTTGATTTGGACTTTATAGGGTGTATTCACCCTCAATATGTGCATAGGGAGGGTTGATTTGGACTTTATATAGCATTTATGCATTTAGGATTAGGGTTGTAATGTGTTTGGGGGGAGGGACGGTAAGCCCGCGGCGAACTTGTGGTCTAAATCCACAATGTAGTAAAGCACAGACGTAAAACAATTCAGTGCCTGTCCAGGTTAGTGCAAGGAACATGAGTATGGACGAAGCACAGAAATCCGGAATGCAAAATCACACTGAAGTCCAAGTATTCAAAGCCAAAGCAGATAGCACATGGAACCGAGTAACCATCCCATTGAGAATGATACAGAAGAATCGTGAGTCAATGTCCATGCCCACCAGGGCAACACCAACAGCATAACCCATATGTAGCTCTCTCTTGTGAATGGCGYCAGGCGCCCTATCTACTCTACAGCCTATCCTACAACTACAGCAATGAACAGCAACCAGACAACTTGACTACCAGCGAGTGATGATGTCAACACCAATGCAGACCTCCACCATCACCAGGTACRTGTCATCTTCCCCACACTCTCYCTTGTTACCCACACAGCGCCCTTCAYCTCCGAAGTACCACCTTCGCCCTCACCTCCCCTGCACCTTCTTGCGGCCCGGCTATGGCCGCCAGTGCTCTGCAAGCAGGCAGCGCCCTACCGCCTAGCGCTGCCCTGCTTCTTCTTAGC